TCTCTTGTGCGTGCCATCATTTGTTCTGGACTCTTTCCTGGCATAGCATCAGTGGTGGTGAGCTATTTGTTTCTTATAATTTTTTTCCCTGTAACTTCCATGCACTTAACTTACAAAATGAGCTTTTATTGTTTTATTTATTTAATTAATTCTTCCTCTGTACAGCACAGGGAGACATCCATGTCATTTAAAACGATGGATGATGGCCAGGTTTTATTATATGCTGTAAGTGATAAACCAAATTCTATATTTTCCTATCACCTTCAATGGATGAATTTATCTGTTATCATGTGTTCTACTTCTATTAAGGTTCGTATTCTATGGAATATCATTTTGGCAACAGACAACTTAGATACGCTTTTATAAGTATTATTGTTGTATTCTCCATTTATGATTAATGTTTCATCTTGGTAACTGCTGCCTTCATGTAGGTATAACTTAAATCGGCACCAATCACCAAGATGACATGTGAATTTTAATAAGTAAACAGCATACAAATAGGACCTATGATACTATATCCAAGTTCTTTCCTTTTGTGGTGTAAACTGTTGTCGAGCATCAATTTTAAGATAGATGACATATTTTTGTTTTATTTCTTGTTTTCACATGCAACTTCCAAAGTGTCACCTTGTTTTCACATTGTTTCCTGTTTAGGAAATGGTGTAAACAAGTTTTTTTTATTTTTTTATTATCACTATTTCTCGTACAATATTTTAAAACAAGAAACAAATGAAAATAGACATTTTTATAATTGTTTTAAAATGGGAAACATTTTCTCAGATCAAACTAGCCTTAAATTTTCTTATGAAATATGGATTGCATTAATTTGTAAGATATCAACATTCAACATATCGTGAGAATTTTTCATGCCTCAGTTTTATGATAGAAACCTGATTTCTATTGTTGCCCGTCTTTCATTAATATGAAATGTCTATTCCCATTCATTCTTCATTTCATGGGTTCTTTGTTGTTATTCTACTGCTTTAGTTTAAGATGAAATTAATCATTTGGAGAATATGTTATGCTTTATATTTCATCAGAATTGAAAGGCCAAAAATAAATCTTTGGAAGCTAATGGTCTTGGAAACATGTGCATCTGTTGAAAAATTTCAGGGATGTGTCGTGAACCATATTTTATTGGTGGAATAGTATTATTTTTGAATTTAGTATTTGATAGGATTCTAAAGATGATAACTGTATTATTGATATTAACAGAGACATCTCTGCTACTGAAATTTGATGGATATTAATGCAGAATGAACGTGACGTACATGCACTAAATAAAACAGTAATCATCCTTAGAATCCCATCAAATAATATACATGAACTGAACATTTTTTACTTTAAAGGGACCAATGTGTATAATAGCTCTAAATAAAAAGTCAAAGTTAGGTTATGACCTTTGATTGAATTTGGAAATTTTTTAAAACTGTCAACAAAAGAAAATGCCAGCTGGAAAATGAGCAGATATGGCAATTTATTTGAATTAAAGAAGAAATTCATTTAGAAATGAATTAGTTACAAAGAAGAAAACGATAAAAAAGGATTTATATAGATGTTAAACCAAAAAAAGAAGAAAAAGGATTTGTCAATAAAGCGAAGGCAGAGGTGTTACTTACCTTTAAAGCGGATGTATTTTTTTTACCCTGAGCTGATTGGGTGTTTGTTACTTCAAAACTGCCAAACCACTTTGACAATATATAGATTTTTTAATATAAACCCTCCCCTTCCCCTATATTATTCATGTTCTCTTGTTGAATAATTTTATTACTTTTTACCAGAATTCAGTGAATGCACGTTACCAGACCATACCTTACCCATGGTTGGTTTTTGGTGAGAAAGTTAAGGTCAATGCTGTTTTCATCCGTGATTCCACCGGTGTATCTGATTCAATACTTATCCTTTTTGGTGGTGCTCTGAGTAATGGGATACAGGTGATTAGTTAGTTGATACATTTGCTTCTTTCAGTACAATATATCCATGAATGTCATTACAGTAACATGCTTTTTTTCTTTCTTGTCCCTCATGGATTTAGGCGGGGCATCTAAAAATGTTAGATGGGTACGTTGACTTCTTCATGGATCCTAGTTTAGCTGACTGCTATTTGAAGCTTAAGGAAGAGCTCAATAAGCTTATCCAGAAGAAGGTTAGTAGATATTGTTTACTTGCAATAATATTCCTTGTTTACCAACCAATTTGGGAGGTTGCTGCATGATGTGAGCTTAAACTTTTTCCAATAGAAGTTATTGTTAGTTGAAGAAAATATAATGATCATGTATTGTGCTGGTTAGAGATAATCTACTCTTATTTTATAAATTATAATACATATTTTGGAGACTGAGAGCTACTCTCTTTTAGACATTTTCAATATTCCTTCTCTTTTTTGGATGTGCATTTTACATACTATCCGATAACTAGGAAAAGAAATTTTTCTCGCAATATATTTATTTTTATTTGTATATTTGATATTCTACCTACCCTTTGAATCTTTTATCATTATCTCTAAATTGAATTTTAATTGTTTTTGTTTTTAAATGTTAGTAATTAAAAATAATCTTATGTCATAATTTAAATTATTCATTGTAATTAAAAAATTAATTTATATATTCAACATATATATTTATTATAAATTTCAATTGTAAAAGAAATAAGCATTTATTCTGCATGATGTACAATATATTAGTTAAAATGATAATGGGTTTGTAATATTGCAGCTTGAAGATCCTAGCATCGACATTCACAAGGAAGGGAAGTACTTGATGCTTGCTGTTCAGGAGTTGGTTTCAGGGGATCAATGTGAAGGACGATTTGTATTTGGCCGTGAAAGCCGTAAGCCTAGAGCCTCTAATGATGAGAACAAATTCACAAAAGATGGAACAAATCCCAAGAGCTTGCTTCAAACACTGTTGATGCGAGCAGGGCACTCCCCTCCAAAATACAAAACAAAACATCTCAAGACTAATGAGTTTAGGGCACTGGTGGAGTTCAAGGGAATGCAGTTTGTGGGCAAACCGAAGAGAAACAAGCAACTTGCAGAAAGGGATGCTGCTATAGAGGCATTGGCTTGGTTGACTCACACCTCTGACAATAATCAGCATGAAGATGATAATTCTCCTCCTGATGTCACTGACAACATGCTAAAACTCCTAGGGAAGCGTAGAAAATCAAAGCGTCGCCATGGTTGACATTTCATCCATTCATGGTTTTAGGTGAGTTGATCCCATCCTTTCATCTTGTATTAGTAGCTCAGAATCATGCAATTTAACGCATGATGTTGAAAGGAAGTGTTTAGGAGGCTCGACATGAGGTCCTGCATAGCAAATTTTTGAGTAGGATGTAATTTATCTTTGTGACATTAGGATTCTTTTTCCTTTTTCATCCACCCTTCTTTGTAGGGGTTGAAATTGGTTCAGGAAAATATAGTTAATTAAAGGTGCTCAATCTTGGCAGTTGTTGGCTCTTAAGTTGAGCCAAATCCATAATTTTGGTATCATTATATTTTTATTTACATATCTTGTGTCCAAGACCAAGATACAGACAGTTGTACTAGTTATTAATTAGGAATGACATAGCATGTAATTTGTTATAGAAATGCTCAAAATTTATATTTTGCTGTATATTCTTTCTGGTAAAATCTATCCAATTCTCATTTTCCCAAGTCTGTAGATGGCCAGGGTTGGTATGTTCTGATGTAGGAGTACTACTAAATAGTGATAGTTGTATTGATATTGGGTACACGTTGACGTTGGTACTTATCCAATACTATACAATATCACTAAAGTAAAATAAAGTTAGTCCTGGAACAACCAACACATTTGTTGCTGAATTATAAGTTTGCTCTTAATGAAACAGGTTGCCACTTCACTCCTTTCAAATCATGTATATTCTTTAAATATTGATTCATATTCATTTAATTTCCCTATTGTCTACGGTTATATGTCTTCTCGTCATTCACCCGCGCCATAGTTTTTAAAATTTGTTATATGCTGTGCCTGTGGCAACCATGTCATTTACCTGGTATCGTTACGGATTCATGTTGCATGAAAATGGTGAGCTGTCTTTTTGGTTTACATTTGACATTTTGAATGAATTGAATCGTTAAACATGGTTTGAAATGTGTATTTATAATAATAACAGGCTAAAATTTTAATTAATTAACACGATATTTTTATATATTAAAGTTAAATATATTTTCTTTTTCATTTATAATCATGATAAAATACATTAAAGATAAGCGTTACCATACATTCTATAACATACTTTTTCTAATAATTCTATTGATTAATTTTTTTTTAAAACTTCAAAGTTACGAGGGATGTTCGTTAAAAAAAAAAAAGGAAGGACTATATACTTTCTTAATTTTTAATAAATTTCAATTAACAACATTGAGAGAGTTCGAAAAAAAATAATTAGAGGTTATTATTACTAATTCGTTTAAACTAAAAGTAAACATTTTAATATCAATTCTGATACATTGAAACAAAAAAAAAACATTTTAACATCATTTTCTTCACTAATTCGTTAGAGTGAAATAAATTAGCCAATTTATCTAGTAACATTATCATTTTTTTTAAATAAACATGTAAAATTAGCCAATTTAGTGATTCACAAATAAGTTAAATATGTGTTTAATTATTTAAATATAAGATAAATTTATTTTTGGTCTCACAAATTTTAAATTGTTATTTTTAGTGCATGCAATTTTTAAAAATTTTATTTTAATATCTCAAATCACAAATAACATATCTAAATAATTTAATATGATGTATTCATAATAGGACATTAAATTTTATATAATAATATTTGATAAATTTCTTAAGAAAATTTGAATACAAGAATTAAAATAAATTTTTTTAAAATTACAGACACTAAAAATAATAATTTTAAATTTAAAGAATAAAAATAAATTTATTCTAAATTTAAATAACTAAAAATATATTTAAGTGTGTACAAACACGTGATTGTAAAGATGCGTGGCACAGCCGCATGTGTGGTTGGCACGTGGCTAAGCGGAACTATCCGTTCTTTCTTTGCTTCCCATTCCGAATTCTGAATTTCATTCGCATTTGGCATCAAAATCAATGGCTACCACTGCCACTGCCACTGCCACTCCCACTCTCTCCTTCCACTTTCCCTCCCCAACCCTCTCTTCGCCCTCTTCACCTTCCCTATTCAAACCCTACACCGTTGCTTCCCGCCAAAACCTCTCCTTCGCCACCACCTCCTTCGCTTTCACCAACTCCACCTCTCCTACTTTTCTCGCCAAGGCTTCTCCCAACTCGCTCCCTCCTTACAACGTTTTGATCACTGGCTCTACCAAAGGTTCTTTCACTTTACTCTTCTTTTTCTTCGCTTCTTCTTCTCTCATTTCCTGCTTTATCCTATTCCTCCCAAATTCCCAAACATGTCTCCCCATTATCTCTTACTTTCATGTTTTCATTTTCTTATCTGTTCCTTCTTATATCATGATTTTAATTTAAATTACTCCTTATAAATCTAAAATATAGTTTTTATTATAAAATATTTATCCCCACTTTTATCGGTGTCATTCTCATCATTATCCACTATAGAGATCGAGGTACTGTACATCGTGTCAATAATTACACAAATTGTATATAATTATATAGATAGAATATAAGAATTTGTTTATTTTTATGTATGAGGGGTATAATATTAAAAAAAAAAAAAAGAAACTGAAGCAGTTACATACCCGATATCTAATATCCCTTTATTAACAGGTATAGATTGTCAGTACTGTTTACTAGTTCTTATAATAATTTCGTAATTCTATATTTTATTTAATAAAAATATTTAAAAATTATTAATATTTAAAAAATTAACTTTTACTATTTTTATACTCAAACTTCAAAGTCTTGAATTGAGTTTTTAAATTTGTAAGAATAATTATTATTTTTTATTATTTCAAATTTAAAAATAAAATCATTTTAAAAAAAAATATACCAATTCAGACTATCGTCTTTTTATATACTAGAATAATTAAAAAATATTTAAAAGAAAACTAGAGGAATTGCTTGTGACTTTAATAGTTATGCACATACATAATATTAGAAAGTTGTGTATAGTTATTCAAAGAGAATATAAATTTTTTTTTTACATCTAAGGAGTATAATGGTCCACTAAAAAGTGGAGACCAAAAACAGTTACATATCCTTTTATTCCCTAATTTTGTTTTTATGCTTAAGCTTTGGATAAGAACGAAGACAAACTTCTATATTACGTCATGAAACAATTCGAAATCGATATTCAATTTCGTTAATGTCGTGATTAAGTGTTGATTTCTTTTGTACTGTTAGTTAGTCTTCCTAGACTATGACAATAATTGAGCCATTAGAAATGGATTAGACCTGAGTCAAGTCTAATAAGGATTATTTTTATCATATATATTTCTACTTGATATAAGATATAACACGCTCTTCACGTTCATGCCTCCATAATTTGTTTGTGAATTTTGCAGATTGAATATTTGCAAATTACTCAATATTAAAACTGAATAAATTCTGATATTATATAATATATCAGACCTAACTCCTCAAAAGTTAGTTAAATAGATAAACGTTATTCAGGTCTTATAAGACGTATTCTGATCATACTCCTAACTAATACAACACATTTTAACATGAATTATTTTAATTTATTTTTCTTTTTATTTATTGGTTATGGATTGCTTAACGTTATATATATATATATTATATTATATTATAGATTATAGATTATAGATTAAAATAATTAGTATAAATTTTTTTAAGATAATTATTATTAAGAAGGATAATGTTGGAATTTTGCATTATTTTATATGTCCTGTTTATTGGTCATCAAATAATGAACATGATAAAATATGTCTTGTGTGTTGATCTTCTTGTACTATTTTCTTATTTTTAACTGTGTGTCAAACACACCCAAATACATTTACACAAGTGAGTGCACATTATAATAGTTTTCTTAACAATATTTTCTGACTTATTTTCTGTTGGTGTTATATTTTTTATATGATTCAGGAATAGGGTATGCTTTGGCGAAAGAGTTTCTAAAAGCTGGTGACAATGTTGTGGTTTGCTCGAGATCAGGTGTGGAGTCACTCTTGGTGTTTCAATGTTTCAACCATGCAGTTTGTTTATTTCATGATTACATATGCTTATTCTATTTCAAATTTTATATCACCGATTCATTGGTGATTGCCTTTTCTGTTTTCCCCTTTCCTTCCAATTATGTTGGTCAAAATTGAAAAAAAATAATTTGGATTCTCTGCCCAGCTTCCTCCACTTTTGTTACCAAAAACTTATTCATATGCTATTTATCAAGTTCTTTAGGGCTTGATGGCATTTTGTTGTTTAAAAGTTTCTTCAGGAAAAGAATGGAACTACTTTTTAGTTTTTGGTGTTAAAGCATGAGATGTATCAATTATTCTATTATAATTTTTTTAGATATATGTTCTGTCAGATTATTATCCATGGATATTTGTTTCCTTTATGTTAGTCCCGCTCCTTGTCATTTGTTCTTTCTCTTGAAATTTTAACTTACTTTAAAACATATTTCTGAAATTTAAGGTATTTTACATTCTTATTTATCTGATTTTGTTGTGTTTTTCTGTATCTTGGTTTTCATTTAATAGTTGAAAGGGTAGAGACAGCTGTCCAGAGCTTGAAAGTAGAATTTGGGGAGCAGCATGTGTGGGTACCTCCTCTTAAACTTCTTTGTCAATTGTTAGTAGCACATGTATGTTAAGTACATATCTGGTTGGTGTCCTCATCTTCACACTTTGTTTCCTGCAGGGAACTGCATGTGATGTGAGAAATGCAGAGGATGTGAAGAATTTAGTTTCATTTGCTCGAGAAAAGTTGAAATACATTGATATATGGGTATTAATGTCCGATTTATTTTTCCTATTGTGATTGTTTATTTTGCATATAATGGTGGGAAAATATTGTGAAGATGTAACTTTAACTAGTTCTCATTGTTGAAGTCATGGTCTGATCAACTATATAAGCTGCTGTTCTTAACAAAATTATAAGTTGGACCAGAGAAATGATTTTTGAAACTACTTTTCTGCAATGCAGATGCCATATTATGATAAGTTCAATGGCATTATATAGCATAGAATGTGTTTTCTTTTACTGTGAATTAGTAATAATGGCTTGCTTGACAATCTGCTACTGTGCTAACATCTTTCATGAAAAGTTTGCTTAGGCACACAGTCTAAATATAGACTGAATTTAGCTAATGACCTATTTGGAAGGTGGATTTATATTGCTATCCACATCATTATTTACTTTTTACTTACTTTTAGTGGAACTTGAACCTGAGACCTGACTCTAGTAAATGTTTGCCAGCAGTACCTGGAAACTTATGTTTTATTAAGGTTAAATTATTCACTTGGTTCCTATAGTTGTTCTCATTTTAGGTTTTAGTTCCTATATAGCAAAAACTTCAAGTTTTAGTCCCTAAAACTTGAAGTTTTTTGTGTTTTAGTTTGCTCGTGTTAGCCCCTATGGAGTCAACACTTTAGATAGCTTTGTAGAATTCTCTGGCCATCTTGTGTCATAAATGACATTTACTGTTAGCTCTCTTTTACACCAAGCAACAAGCATTTCCCTTCCATGCTGTCATAAATGCTCCCCCTTCTTATAGCTGTTTTTTTTAATCAATTTTTTATTTTAAATTCCAGCCTTTCATTGAATATGTTTGTTAAAAGTATACTAATTCTATTCTTGTTTTGATATTGATGCAGATCAACAACGCTGGATCAAATGCATATAGCTATAAGCCACTTGTTGAGGCTTCAGATGAAGATCTTGTGTGAGCTTCGTTGCACCTTTAACCCTAAATTTCAAAATTTTAAATTATAACAATTTTTTTTTTGAATTTCTTTATCGTCTGCTTGCAGTGAGGTTGTTACAACAAATACACTTGGCTTGATGATATGTTGTCGAGAGGTAAAAGATATTCTCATCTAAGAGATACTATGAAATATGAACAAAGTGGGTGCACTGTTATGCATATATATTTAGTTTCAATTTAGGCAATTAAGATGATGGTGAGCCAGCCTCGTGGAGGTCATATTTTCAATATTGATGGAGCAGGTTCAGATGGAAGACCAACTCCCAGGTACTTTCTTGACTTTATTGGAGCATTCCATTCGTTGATTTGGTGCAATTTTCTGCTAGTAATATTTAAATGGTGTTGTTTATTTGCTATTGTCTGCTGGGACTGACAGCCAAATTAGGCAAGGTTGCTTATTGATGCATACTACTTCCTGTGTCTACAAATCTAGAAAGATTCACTTCTATAGTGTTTTTTTGGGCCAAAAGTCTTGTATAGTTGTATGAGTTGGTTAGCAATGTAAGAAAAAAGAATTTTGGATGCTAAATAATCGTTAATCAGTTTCTAGTCGGCATACTAAAGCAGTTCTTGTTAACCATTTGGTAAACAATGCTGCTGTCTGATGTAGTGACATTGGTTTTGCTCTAGTTTTGATGTAAGCGATTGATTGTGAGCTCTTCTTCACTTTAATAATTCTTATAATCTATACAAATACTTGCAAAGCCTAGCAGGTAGCATATTATAGGTGGTGTTAATTTAAGTTAGGATTTTGGATGAAATCCAAAATGCATTGTGGATTCCACTTTAAATCATAATCTTAGTCAACTTCTTACAAAATTATCACCAGTCTTATATGTGCCATGGTGAAAGTTCGTGATTTCTGCCTTTATTTCTTAGGTTTGCTGCATATGGAGCAACAAAGAGAAGTGTGGTGCATTTAACAAAGTCATTACAGGTTAATTTTTTGTATGTTAAAATTAATATTCAGTTCATGCACGATTCTAATCATTTCATGTCCATGTGTGTTCTGTTGCTTATGAGTCCATTTGGTGATTAGGATATGATATGATAAAATAATATAAGATATGAGAATGGGTAAAAGTAGGACAAACTTTAAATCTTTAATTATATCCAATATTTCATGCACATCAGGATAACAAGTCAAATAACATCTTTGTATTATATGTCCTCTATTTGATATAGACCGGTAGGATAGGATATAAGTTATATTAAAATGAAAAAGTATTATTTCATTAAAACTACACATAATTTTATAAAACAATTTTTAGTTTAATTGTTTAATTTTGATCAATTATTAAAATTATAATTTTAACTAAATATAATGTTTTTATTTGTGTAGTGACTATCTTAAAATTATAAATAAAACATTATATTTTTTAAATAAGAATGATTTTTTTTGACATAAAAAATTATAATTTTATTCACACATTTTTCTTTAAAATATATTTATATAATAATAATTTAAGTTTTAATTTTTTTACTTAATGATATACTTTAAATTTTAATATCAAAATTTTTATAATTATATATAAGATAGTATGTTGAATACAAATTTTATAATAATATATAAGGTAATAATATACTTTGCACATTATTTACTTTTGACCAGAAATATTTTGGAGGATCAAAATTCTTAAAGAAGGTAGGTTTGCACATTATTTACTTTTTTTTAAAAATTTTGAAAAATTCAAAAACAAATTAATGTGAAACATTGAAAAATTAAATGGTAGAAATTTATCACAAGGCAAATTAACTTAAGTTAACCTTTATTCTTTTTTAAGAGATGAAGGTGTATCTATTTGAATTTTTCCCTACTGTTGTGGTGACTGTTTAATTAGACCCATTAAGTTTTTTGCTAATTTGTTTCACCCGCATGGGATTAATTTTATTGTCGTGAATTAAAATTGTCAATTATATGTCCAATGCGTTAGGTTCTATTTTCATTTCTTCCTCATGTGTTTCTAATTATGCTAAAAGGTAGCTAATTGTTAACATAGATAAACCAATAGTGAAGAATCAAAAGTAAAGTAAGGAACCTTAAAGAAATTAAATTAAAATAAACATTGTCAAGGGCTTAGCCCCAATCCTAGAAACACAGGAACTACTCACACATGTTCATGAACAATTCTCAAGAGAACATAAAAATCGAAGAGAGATAGACAAACAAGAAGAGAAGGACAAAATAAATTCTTGATCTTGCTTTCACTCTCTGTCTGAAACGTAATAAATAACCAATCCCTCCTCTTTTAGTGTTTTTAATATCTATTTGAAATCTAGGTTTCCAATCTGTTCAGCTTTCAAAAATTACATAACAAGCTAACTGACAAGACTGTGCCAGGTGTGCTTTCAGCACGGTAAGGGAGGGCAAGCTAATCTGCATGGCATGCGGGTGGATGGCACGCCCATGCCAAATGCTGCAATGGTTTCATCTCTAGCAAGCTGATCTGCATGGGCATGAGGATGGATGGCACGCTCATGCCAGTTGCCTCTAGTCCAAAATTTTCTTTCTCCTTCCAAACTGGTTCTTGATGGTCATGCTAGGTTTTGAAGGTCAAATATGCACTAAAAACTTCAATTTAGCACCAAATATCCAGCAATATAGCTCCTACACACATGAAAAATACCCAAGGCATACAACAAGTTCAACAAAAAACACAATATGCAATGACATAAACAAAAATAAAGGATATTCATCGTTGCAACTATTAACGAAAGTAATCCTTACTAAAATCTTCCTAATTATCAACTAAATGCAATGCATCATTATATTCTCTAAATGTTTTGACAAGTTAGGATCAGTAGCAAGGATAAGAATGTTGCAACGATGAATGTACATACTAGAATAGATTGAATTATAACTGAATGCATTTGAGGGAAAGTTGGATATCACCTTTTATTTAGAAAGAAAATGAAAAATCTTGCTGTAGGTGGTCTGGGCATTATATGGAGAAGACTTGTGGAGGCCTTAGTCAGGAGGGAAACTAAGAAAAGCTATAGGCGAAGCTTTTAAGAAGGGTTTAGAGCGCAAGGATTTGTCTATACACTTAATTTATAATACAATGTGGGTTTTATTCATGTAGCTGACCCCACCTAGTGTCATTCTCTTAATGTAATTCTTGGTGTTTAAAGGAAATTAGGATATCACAAAATATTGCTGAATGTTAGGAAAACTTCTTCCCATACAATAAAATTACCCATATGTCCAAAAACCTTAAGTGGAACACATACTAGGGTGTTATTTATTGGCTCTATATATAGAGTTAAACTGTAACACAAAATTCAAATATTATTATCATCCTAATTTTAAAAAGGAAACAAATTCCCAAATTAAACAAATTGATAAAATCTGTAAATCAAAATAACTTAACATTACAAATTCCTAAAATAACTTCTCTTGAATTTTTACCAACTCCATCTATTTTGAAATTTGAATTGTCTCCCAACATAGAACAATCAGCAAAACTAGATTGACTTTGTTGGGCCTCCTGAGTAGACCTACAATGCTAGATCATATCTAATAGAATTGAAAGTTAGATTATTCTACCAAAACTCCTTAGCTGCTTACAGCATGGTATTTTGACATTTGTAGCTATTTATTGGAGTTTTATGCTTGTAAAGAGTTTTCTTTTCTCCTGTCTATTAATCCATGAGACATTTGGTGTGCAGGAATG